TAACGAAATGACAGAATTAAGTCGGTGGCTTAACAATGTCTTCAAGGATGCAGGCAAAGGCCAGGTGCTGTGGTTCATGCCTATAATCCCAGCACTTTGGGAGGCTGAGGCACGAGGATTGCTTGAGCCCAGTAGTTCAGACCAGCCTGGGCAACACAGGGAGACTCCATCTCTACAAAAAATAGAATAATTACCCTGGCATGGTGGCGTGTACCTGTGGTCCCAGCTACTCAGGAACATAACCCAGGCACTCCTGACCCCTTATGTGTGGAATGGGGGTTCCCGAGACAAGCTCATGCTGTGGACTCTGGACATGACCCAAGAGAAATGGAGCACCTGGTTGGCTTTTTACATTGCGGAAGTAGCAACGCCCTTTGACTTGCCTGCTTCACCAAAGCCTTTTCTATCCAGAACTGTCTACGTGTAGTCTCGGGCTGCCCATCTCATCAGGGTCATGCTCACTTGTGAAAAAAGAGTTACGGCAGCACCTCAGTTTTCCATGAAGCCTGTCCACCTGGCCTGCAGGGACAGAGGAACATGAGCACCCCGCTTTCTTGCTTTCTTATCTCATCCTTGGATCACAGGCAATGTTTCTGTGTGTTCAAAAAATGCAACTCTGTCTTTTTTTTATTTTTTTATTTTTGAGACAGAGTTTCACTCTTACTGCCCAGGCTGGAGTGCAATGGCATGATCTCAGCTCACTGCAACGGCTACCTCCAGGGTTCAAGTGATTCTTCTGCCTCAGCCTCCCTAGTAGGTGGGATTACAGACATGCACCACCATGCCTGGCTAGTTTTTTCATATTTTTAGTAAAAACGGGGTTTCTCCATATTGGTCAGGCTGGTCTCGAACTTCCGACCTCAGGTGATTTGCCCGCCTCGGCCTCCCAAAGTGCTGGGATTATAGGCCTAAGCCATTGTATCCAGCCAACTCTGCCTGTTTTGTTTTGTTTTTTTTAATAGCTGAACTTAATTTCTTTTGTGAACCTTCATTCTTAGGGGCTATGGAAATTCCAGCTGATGAGAGTTTTTGCAATTTCAAAGAGGTTGCATCTAGTTCTGAGGGGCTTCTGTGGTGTGGGGGGCACAGGTCCTCCCCATCATCCTTGTCTACTTGGTGACTGCTGAGCATGTGTTTACCCTGGGTTCCCTTGAAAGCAGACCTGAGGTAAGAACTTGTGTGAAGGTGGTTTATTTGGGAGCTGACCCCAGGAAATGAGTGACACTGGGAAGGATCAGAACATGGTGTGTTATTGAGTTGGTCATGCTGGGGACAGCTGGAGCTCCGTCCAACCAGGATGCTCTGAAGACTATGGTGAAGGCCTCTTGGAGTTGTTCGTGTGAGGTCAACATTCCCAGCCGCTTTCCTTCCCATTGGTGGAAGGTTGTCTGGAGGGTGGGACGCCTCCCTCACACTTCTCTACTGCTCCTATGTTCCTGTGGCTGGGTTCCTGCCTGCCTGTCTCCTCCCCTGCTGGCAGTGTTGGGGAAGCCTTGGTGCAGAAAAGGAAAGGAGCTCAGTGGGCACATGGGCAGGATGCTGTCAGTCTGATGATGATCAAAACCACTGCAAACTCAGGAGTGCAGCTGAGGTATGAGGCGGGCACACAGGTGTCCTCTCCAGGGTACGAGACGTGTGACCTGTCTGGCCCTCTTGCCCTACCTGGGGCAGATGGGGAGCAGGGCCGGAGGGTGCCCTGCTCCTGAGCCTCTGTGGTTATGGAGTTCTTGTGCTCATCAGCTCTCCATGAGGATGCCCAGTGTGGTCATCCTAGACTTCCCAGGCAGCTTGTTTTTTTTTTTTTTTTCCAAGTTTCCTGGGCTCTCCCTGGCTCCCACTAGAGAGGACAGCCCAGGTGACTTTTCTCTTGGAGACCCCCAAACTCCCTGGGGTTTCTGTTTCTCTCCCTACTTGGCTCAGAACAGGGGGTCGGGGAGGTGGTGACAGAGTACAAGCATCACTTTCTCAGGAAGTCTGAAGGTCCTGGCATCCTGGCTTTCTTGGCTCCAAAATCAAGGAATCTTTTCTAGTTCAGAAAAGGAAACGCTGTTATTTCTGATCATTATTATTCTGTGCTTTGAGTTCATTGGGGCTTAAGCATTAAGACTTAACATGAAGAATTGAGTTCTGCCTTAGGCTGGCTTCCCCCTAGGAGCAGACTTGAAGAAGAAGGTTTCAGTGCAAGTAGTTTATTTGGGATTTGGTTCCAGAAAGTGCCAGTAGAGAAGCAGGGAAGGGGAGAGAAAGCAGCCAGCAAAATGTGTATCATCAAACCAGTAACCACTGTGTATGTCTGGGGCTCAATCCTGCTGGAGAGTTCTGAGAGCTAGCATAGAATACACGCCTCCTGCAGCCATGAAAAAGAACAAAACCATTTTCTGTCCAGTGACATGGGTGCAGCTGGAGGCCATTGTCCTAAGAGAATTAAGGCAGAAACAGAAAACCAAATACTGCATATAAGTGGGAGGTGAGCACTGGGGACACAGGAACACAAAGAGAATGACAGACACTGACGAGGAAGGAAGGGAGACAAGGGCTGGAAAAGTACGTATTGAGTGCTCTGTCCACTATTTGCATGACGGGATCACTAGAAGCCCAAACCTCAGCATCAAGCAGTATACCCATGTAATACATCTGTGCATGCACCCCTGAGATCTAAAACTTGAAAATAATTTAGAACATTGTTCTACAAATAAGGGAATACAAGCCTCCAAGTTATCTCACCTGACAGGTGAGGGAGCTGGGGTATTTATCCACCAGCTTGCATTAGTTGTCAGATGAGAGTTACTCCTAGAGTTGTTTCTCTGGAACTTTGGCCTCCCTTGGGTCCGGGAGGAGAACGCTCTGAGATAAAGGAGTGCAGACACGGCAGCTGGGCATTGCACAGGGATGCCCAGAAGTGACGAGGCCTGAAGGGGCATGGGCGCAGCATCAGCAGGGCCTGCTTCAGCTTCCTTGCTCTTTCTTATTCTTCCATGCTTTCTCCCATGCAGTTAACAAGAAATGGCCTGATGGTTGGAAAGGGGGAAAGGAATGAGATGGATGAAATTTTGGGGGAAAAACTCTTAGTATGTCAAAATAGCATCCCAGTAATTTTCCTTATTGGGAAGGCTGGTGGTGTCTTCCATGGGCAAGAGGACTGTATGTTCATTTGTTTGATTTAAGGGTCCAGAAAAATTTTCAAGGATGAAGTATTCATGCTGCCTGAAGGACCTGGAATTTGTCAGCCAGCACGTGGGTAGGTGAGCTTTCAGTTGCGTGTTAACTGTTTAAGTTTAAGAAGGTAACTCAGCATCATGGTTAAGGACTAGACCCCGGGGTCAGTCAGGCCCTAGAGAAAGCTCTGGCTCAGCTGCTAACCTGCTTTGCAAATTTTGGCAAGATACACAACCCTTCAAAGTCCTGGTTTCTTCTTCTCTAATATGAGAATAATAAAGTTCCTTCCTTAGCCAGGCGCGATGGCTCATGCCTGTAATCCCAGCACTTTGGGAGGCCGAGGTCAGTGGATCACCTGAGGTCAGGAGTTCCAGACCAGCCTGGCCAAGATGATGAAACCCCATCTCTACTAAAAATACAAAAATTAGCTGGGCATGGTGGAGGGCATCTGTAATCCTAGCTACTTGGGAGGCTGAGGCGGGAGAATCACTTGAACCCAGGAGGCAGAAGTTCCAGTGAGCCGAAATTGTGTCATTGCACTCCAGCCTGGTTGACAAGAGTGAAGCTCCATCTCAATCAAAAAAAAATAAAAATAATAAAAATAAAGTACCTTCCTCATAGAGGGGTTTTGTGATCAAATGAGAGAGTGCATTTGGATAATGTATTAACACAGCATCAGGCCCAGGGCGTCTATGTTGGACTTGATAGGGGCCAGGTTTCAGCTGACAGGTGTTGGAGGTTTATGGCCAATGTCACTTCTGACTGTTGTTATCATATTACACCCCTCCCCAGTGGGGGTTGTGAGATTCCTGACACAGGAGGCCCATCACCCTATACCTGCCAGCGCTCACTCGGCCTTGCCTCCACTTCCCACTCTGCATTTACATTTGTAGTGGCTGCCCCTGGTAATCGGCCTGCTGCTTGACTCTGCACAGAGGAAAATGTCTGTCCCTTTCCCCTGAGCAGTGTCTGTGTTAGGAATGTCCCCTGAGAGGAAGACTGTGCCTGATCTCACCTCCCTGGCAGCTTGGATGGAGCCAATTTCCTGCCTCTTGCAGGCTGGCTGCCTCCACTGGGCCTTGTCACTCACTGTCATTCCCACTGATTAACTTACCAGCTCATGGGGGCATTGCTTGCTTAAGAGACTCTGTGGAAAGGACTGAATTGTACTCAGCTTTGATACACTGGAGTGTGAGTATTCACGTGTTGATTGGTAACTGGTCACTGCACTGAACTACCATGGTAATCCTCCCCACTCCTGTCCTGGCCACCCTGCTCCTATCCTGGGACCTCTTCAAGATCCCCTGTTAGGTAACACTGGCCCAGCAGAGGTCTCTAGACCCTGCCCCAACACCTTGGCCAGCATCCATTCCTTAGGCCATTGGGGCCCATGCCTGGCTGTTAAGTATTTTGAACATCTCTCCTGGGCATATGCTCAGGAAGCAACTGCGGAATTAAATGTTCTGTAGATGGTTATCAACAAGGGTGATGTTTCTAATTAAAGAATAATCTCTGCGAGTCTTTTCTGAGAATATGCTTTTCTCTTTTATCTCTGCAAGTCCAAATCTTATTTTTTATGACTCAGGTCAAACAATAGAAAGTAAGAGCTGGATGGAATCAACTTTAATCCAACTTCCACAATTAAATAATAAGGAAAGTTGAGTCCTGGAGCTAGGAAGTGATTCACCCAAAGTGCCAGGCCTCCACAAAGCCTTTGTGAATTTTCTCACCAGCTCTGTAACCATAGGTGCCTGGAAATATTCCCCTTCCCCGCTGAATCCTTGAAGTTCCGGTTTATTAGGGGCCAAGAGGAAAACTCCCCTTCTGAAGGTGTATTGGTCAATTTTCACACTGCTGAAATAGACATACCCAAGACTGGGCAATTTACAAAAGATAGAGGCTTAATTGGACTTACAGTTCCACATGGCTGGGGAAGCCTCACAATCAGGGTGGAAGGCAAGAAAGAGCAAGTTATGTCTTACACAGATGGCAGCAGGCAAAGAGAGAGCCTGTACAGAAAAATTCCCATTTTTAAAACCATCAGATCTCGTGAGAGTTATTCACTGTCATGAGAACAGCATGAGAAAGACTTGCCCCCATGATTCAATTACCTCTCACCTGGTCCCTCCCACAACACCTGGAAATTCATGATGAGATTTGGGTGGGGACACAGCCAAGCCATATCATCCCACCCTTGGGCCCTCCCAAATCTCATGTCCTCACATTTCAAAACCAGTCATGCCTTCCCAGCAGTCCCCGAAAGTCTTTACTCATTTCAGCATTAACTCAAAAGTCCACAGTCCAAAGTCTCATCTGAGAAAAGGCAAGTCTTTTCTGCCCATGAGTCTGTAAAATCAGAAGCAAGTTAGTTACTTCCTAGAAACAATATGGGTACAGGCATTGAGTAAATACAGCCATTCTAAATGGGAAAAAACGGCCAAAACAAAGGGGCTATAGGTCCATGCAAGTCCAAAATACAGCAGGGCAGTCAAATCTTAAAGCTTCAAAATTATCTTTGACTCCATGTCTCACATCGAGGTCACACTGATGCAAGGGGTGTTCTCACATGGCCTTGGGCAGCTCTGCCTCTGTGGCTTTGCAGGGTACAGCCACCCTCCCAGCTGCTTTCACAGGCTGGTGTTGAGTGTCTTTGGCTTCTCCAGGAGCACATTGTAAGCTATCAATGGATCTACCATTCCAGGGTCTGGAGGTTAGTGGCCCTCTTCTCACAGCTCTACTAGGCTGTGCCCCAGTAAAAACTCTGATCCCATATTTTCTTTCTACACTGCCATGGGATTCTCCATGAGGGCCCTGCCCGTGCAACAAACTTCTGACTGGACATCTAGGCATTTGCATACATTCTCCGAAACCCAGGCAGAGGTTCCCAAACCTCAAGTATTGACAGCTGCCAAGGCTTGAAGCCTCTGAAACCACGACCCAAGCTCTTCGTTGACCCCTTTCAGCCACAGCTGGAGCTGCTGGGACATAAATCACCAAGTCCCTAGGCTTCATAAAGCATAGGGACCCTAGGCCCATCCCATGAGACCACTGTTTCCTCCTAGGCCTCCAGGCCTGTGATGGGAGGGGCCTCTGTTGTCTTGGGGATTTTCCCTGTTGTCTTGGGGATTAACATTTGGCTACTCCTTATGCAAATTGCTGCAGCTGGCTTGAATTTCCCCTCAGAAAATAAGATTTTCTTTTTTATTGCATCATCAGGTTACAAATTTTCCAAACTTTTATGCTCTATGTCCCTTTTGAAACTGAATGCCTTTAACAGCACCAAAGTCACCTCTTGAATGCTTTGCTCCTTAGAAATTCCTTCCTCCAGATATGCTAAATCATCTCTCTCAAGTTCAAAGTTCCAAAAATCTCTAGGGTGGGGCAAAATGCTGCCAGTCTCTTTGCTAAAATATAGCAAGAGTCACCTTTGCTTCAGTTTCCAATAAGTTCCTCATCTCCATCTGAGACCACTTAAACCTTGAACTTATTGTTCATATCATGATCAACATTTTTGTCAAAGCCGTTCAACAATTCTCTTGGAAGTTCTAAACTTTCCCACATTTTCCTGTCCTCTTCTGAGCCCTTCAAACTGTTCTAACCTCTGCCTGTTACCCAGTTCCAAAGTTGCTTCAAAAATATTCAGGTATCTTCTCAGCAGTGACCTAATGTACTGGTACCAATGTACTGTATTAGTTTATTTTCATGCTGCTGATAAAGACATACCTGAGACTGGGCAATTTACAAAAGATAGAGATTTAATTGGACTTACAGTTCAACATGGCTGGGGAAGCCTCACAATCATGGTGGAAGGTAAGAAGGAGCAAGTTACGTCTTACATGGATGGCAGCAGGCAAAGAGAGAGCTTGCACAGAAAAACTCTTGTTTTTAAAACTGTCAGATCTTGTGAGACTTATTAACTATCATGAGAATAGCATGGGAAAGACTTGTCCAAGTGATTCAATTACCTCCCACTGTGTCCCTCCCACAACACCCGGAAATTCAAGATGAGATTTGGGTGGGGACACAGCTGTACCATATCAAAGGGTTTGCAAAGAAAACAAATCAACTCACAAAAGTCAGATTAATTAGAGAAAAGGCGTAAATATGTATTAATGTGCACATGGGGGGAGAAACACAGAGTAAGGACTCCTACCCCCAAAGGGGTTCAGAAGCTTACATGCCATCTTGAAGCTCAGAAAACATGGGGACTTGTCATCAACAATGGATTGGATAAAGAAATCTACATTTGTGGATTTATGTGTGGTACATGTATACCATAGAATACTACACAGCCATAAAAAAGACTAAATTCATGTTCTTTGCAGCAGCATGGATGCAGCTGGAGGCCCTTATCCTAAGCTTATCTATGTAGGAACAGAAAACCAAATACTGCATGTTCTCACCTCTAAGTGTGAGCTAAACATCGGGCACTCGTGGACGTAAAAATGGGAACAACAGACACTGGGGACTTTGCAAGGGAGAGGAAGGGAGAGGGACAAGGTTTGAAAATGATCTATTGGGAACTATGCTCACCACCTGGGTGATGGATTCAATCATGCTACATCCCCTGAATCTAAAATAAAAATTGAAATTAAATAAAAATAATAGCATAGGTAGGCTTATTAAGTAGATGAAACTTCACAAGTAGCTGTCCTCAGAGGGGGTAGATGGTAAATCATTTTTTAAGACCCTTAAAGGTGTCAGCCTCTCAATGTATCTTTCCTAGAGCCAGAAAAGGACAAGGGGAGACCTCAGAGAAAACCTGGCTGCATCAGTGCAGACTCTCTACAGATGCAAGTCTCCCCCCACAGAATACAGCTTTGCAGGGAGAGTTCTGTTTGCCGGCTCTCTGAACAGCCATCTCAAATTATTTCAAAAATAGATTTTGGGAGAAAATATTTCATTTCCCTAAGTGATCACACTTGTGTCGCTAGATCCTGAAGAATTTGCATAGATTGTAGCATCTCTAAGTGGTGGGTTCTACTATCACCTCTACTTTACAAGTGAGGAAACTGAGGCTCAGGGAGTTTAAGTCACTGGCCGAGCGCACATAGCAAGTAGTTGGTGAAGCTCTTACCTGCTGTGCTTTGAATCTTCTTTTTCAGCCTTACTCCTCCTTGTGCCTCGCCTCCTTCAGACCTGGAGGGCAGGGCATCATTTCAGACTGCCTCCTGCCCAGGCACAGTGGGAGAGAAGCATTAGCGTGGGCTTAGCACATGTTTAATGAGTAAAAGAATGAATGCTAAGAATAGCTGAACTGTGATATGAAGGTGAGATGTATTCACAGTTCATGTTTAGTTGTGGTGGGGGGTAGGCTGTTGTTATAACGTTGGATGCAAGCTGAAAAGCAATTCATGAGTGCTTACACTCATTGTAAGCACTCATTGTAAATTACTCATTGTAAGCACTCATTGTAAATTACTCATTGTAATTTATCTAGTGTAGCCAGCATGGCTGTCACTAGATAAAAGGGTATTTCTCCGGCCTGGAGCTATAAATATCATCTTTGCAAGTTTACATGGCTTTTCCCAAGTCTTTTCTGAAGACCTGCGTGGCAGGAAGTCTAAACGAGTTTCCTCTCGGTTACTAGACACTTTGTAAGGGAGTTCTTGCCCCGATTTGCCATGCAATTCACTGCCGAAAACCTCCATCATCCTTTCCCTCCTCAGAGGGCAAGTTTTCCCATCTAATTATCCGAAGCAGTAGCTGGGGATCTAAGCAGAAGCTGGAGGGCTTCCACACAGTTGCTATAGACTACCTGCCTGTCTTTGAAGATAGTGGCATGACAATTTGAGGAGACACTGCAGATTTCCTTAGCAATGTCACCTCAACTGTGACCTGCCAAAGCCATTTATATGTGGATGAGAACACAATCCAACCTCAACAGTAGCATAAGTTTAGTTTTAGAGAGAAAAGCCCCTACAAAATGCCAGTTCTGGCAACTCCGCCTGCAGGTTTTGATTTTATTTAAGTGAATGCCCATTGTTGGCAAGATATACCGATAAGCCCACATTTTCAAGATCAACCCACAGATGTAAAACATGAGCAGATACTGCAGAGAGCCCTTTGATTCCAGGAAACTGCCATGTTCTGTAGGCAAATGTTCATTCTCTTTTTTATGTTGCTGGAGCTGCTCTGTATTTTAACCCAAGTGCTCCTAACTTACACAGGGAAGAGTCACTTAGAGATTTCTTGTGTCCATAGCAGCTTTATGAGGCTAGAGGGATTTTGAAGGAAGGCACAACCTACGTGCAATACCTGGAGTAACTCTGCAACTTAGTAAAAGTTTTGCGGGTTTTTTGAAGCCAGATTAACTGATTGCCAGAGCACTCTAAATAAGAGTTGATAATATGAACTCTCTTTGCATTCAATGTCACTGAATCTTAAAAATAGAAGGGGGAACTAAGATGTTGGTCCCGAAGTTGTTAATGGAGACTGTCACTGGAGCCTCCTGGTAGGGCCTTTGTTTCTCTCCTCCTTCTTTCCTCCCGTTTATCCATTCATCCAAGCAGGACGTGTCTTACTAGAGGCTGTACTCCTACCGCTGTTCGTAATGGAGGCACATGGCAGTGAGGAAGGCAGATAAGACCCTACTCTCATCAAATTTCATCCTAGGGCATGACGGTGTGGGAAAGGCAGGAAATATACAAGTAAACAGAGGAATAAAGAAGGTGTTTTCTGTGTGAAAAGGGCTATGAAGAAAAATTAAATTTGTGTCTTGTAGAGAGTGACGTGTGGAGTGCAGTGGCTACTGTACAGCAAGTGCTCGCCTTACGACCACGATTGGTTCCGACAGACCAGTCGTAACACGATTTGGTCGTAAGTTGAGTAGGCTATATGTACAGTACTGTGAAATGATGTTATAAAAATCTTTGTCATATTTTATCATAATTTTCTTTCATTATTGTTATATATCATAATTTTCTTTGTTCATTTTATGCCATTTGTATCATCTCTACACCATTTTGTTTCTTATTTTTACATTCGTCAGGTTTAAGTAAAACACTGCATTACCAGTACAACTGGTTTAATATTTGCAAAACATTGTGGTCATAAAGTCGAATGGTCGTAAGTTGCATAGGTCGTAAGTCGATCAATACCTGTAGATGGAGTGAGTAGAGAAGAGTTTCCAGAGGAGGCGGCCTCTCAGCCAGTACCCGGGTGACGTGGACACTACATGTCAGAGGGGCTGAGGAAAGGGCGCTGCACACAGAGGACAAGCCAGGCGACCCTGACCTGAGGCTGCGCTCTGCCTCCTGGGAAAAGGCTAAAGAATGATCTGTGAAAGTCATGAGTTGAAAATGTGGAGTTTGTCTGTGCCTACTAGGCCAAAGAGGAGAACCAGCGCACTGCACATGATGATCCTTCAAGCACTTCCACCAGAATTTCACTTTTGGAAAACGTTTTTTCAGGTGTTGTTATTTTCCTTCTTGGCCACTTGATGACGCTGTTGCACCATGTAATTTTACTAGGTCCCTGCTGAGGATGGTGTTGGAAATAATGACATTGTATCTTCCTGAGACAGAGGCTTTTTTTTTTTTTTCCATGTTAAGCAACAATTTGCTACTGTTGAAATTATTTTCCACCAGGAAGGACTGCTTTCACCCAAAACCTAGAAGAGGGTTGCCATGTCTGCAGAGGCCAGTCTTGATGGATTTTGGAACCCCAAAACCACCAAATTCTCTGTCTCAATAAAACTGCCCCATGACTCACCTCACCCTTGTAAACCAAAAAGTATCTGAGGCAAGTCTCAATCAATTTAGAGGTTTACTTTGCCAAAGTTAAGGACATACCTGTGACACCCTCAGGATGTCCTGATGACATGTGCCCAAGGCGGTCAGGCTACAGCTTGGTTTAATACATTTTTGGGAGAAATAAGCTATCAATCAATAGCTGTAAGATGTACATTAGTTCGTCCCAGAATGGTGGGACAACTTGAAGGCAGTGGTGTTGGGGAGGCTTCCAGGTTATAGGTGAATTCAAAGATGTTTCTATTGACAATTAGTTGAAAGAGTTAAGACCTAGAATCAACAGAAGGGAGTGTCCAGGTTCAGATAAGGGGCTATGGAGACCAAGGTTCTTACTGTGCAGATGAAGCCTCCATGTAGCAGACTTCAAAGATAATACATTGTGAATGTTCCTTATCAGACTTAAAAACAAGTGCCAGACACTTAGTTAATTCTCTCCTGGATCAAGGAAAAGACCTAGAAAAGAAAGGGGATTCTCTACAGAATGTAGATTTTTCCCACAAGAGACAGATTTGCAGGGCCATTTTGAAATGTGCCAAATAAATCTATTTTAGGGTAAAATACTTTGATGTCTTTCAGGGCCTGCTATCTTTCATGCGATGCTATACTAAATTCAGGCTGGGATTTGGTGTCTCTTTGGCACAAAAAGTCTTAAGATCTCTGTTTTAATGTTAATGCTGGTCAGTTGTGCCTGAAGTCTAATAGGAGGAGTGTATGGTGAAGACTGTGTGACCCTTGCCTCCTCATCATGGCCTGAACGCATTTTTCTTTTTTTTTTTTTTTTTTTT